ATATATGACCTTGCTTACAGTATCACAATACATCGAACTGTAACCCCTGTATCGTGACACGTATCGTATCGCGATACACAGCCCTATCATTCTCCCTCATTAGCAACAGGAAAAAGGCAGCTCCAGTTATTTCAACACATTCAGTCATACAAAAGGCACTCCATTAGAAATCAATACATTGTTTTATTTCCAAACCTTCAGACATTTTTCCAAATACATGTATTTTTTCACTGAACATAAGCCTACCACTTAGTCTAAAATGTGGCCACAATGGATCATTCAATTCATTTCAGTTTTTTAGCACGTTATTTAAAAAGTGAATCTAACTGAATGTGTTTAACAGCACCAAACTGGCAGTTGCCACCCCATATCACCCCTCTAGATCTGCCCCTGGTCAACAAAATCGCCAAAAAAACATGAATGTCTGTACAAAATGTCATAGCAATCCATCCAGCAATTGGAATATAGTTTGTCCCTAAAGCTGTGGTTACACCCTTTAACAACATGATCATTGTATGACTTAATAAGCTGATGAGGATCTCCTGAATGTACTATTAAAAAGTGCCCCAATGAATTATGGGATGCTGTATCTAAGGATATAATAAAAACTCAAGGCCCCTTAGCAAGGCCCTTAACCCCAATTGCACCAGTGGAGCTGCTCATCAGCCAGCCAATCAGGCTGTGGTAGTACTGGGCAGCTTCCAGGTGTGACTATAAAAAGGAAAATAGATTATTGTTCTCAGTGAAATCCCCCCCTGAATGAAGGTGAATAAAGATCATCATCTTGTTTCATCTTCAAATGTTGAAAGAATATGAAAACTCCAAAAGCAGAATATTAAATCATACACACTCAATACACACAGCCCAAAAGGATAATGTTGCATAGAAATGAAGATATCTTTGGTTAAAACTGAAACTGTGATCTTTACATAATCTAAACTAAAGTAGCAATAGTACATTTACCATAACTGTACTGTAGTTGTCATGCGCAGATATTGTAGAAACAATCGTTTTAAAAATGTTGAATATAATCAGAATCATCCCATATCCATGTTGTTTCAGCTGATTGTGTTGTTTTGTAAATAACAGTTTGTGGGGAAAAGGGCCAACAAGTCTTTCAAATTAAACCAGAAAATATGATGTAACTATATTTGTAACTTCCCATCAGAACACCTGTAAGCTTTTTCTGATGTGAAACCCCTGTCAGCAGGACAAAAACTGCCTTCCAAAACCGTTACAAGTCACTGTTGTAAAATGCATACATACATGCATAGTTTATACGTCTGGCCCATGAAAGTACATACACAATAATGTACTCAAAGCCAAACAGTGAAGCAGTTCAAACCAAACTCAGATAGCAACTTTTGTCATTGTATCACCTTCTACATGTCTTTCCAATCTGGGAGGGGGATCCCTCCTCTGTTGCTCTTCATAAGGTCCATTTTTTTTCCCATTTTATCTTATCGAGGGTCTAAGGGCGGAGGGTGTCCTATGATGTAAATAGAGAGAAACAGTGATTCTGGGCTGTAGAAACAAACTTGCCTTGTTATATTTGTACAGATGACATTAGGTTAATACAACAGCAGTTCGACAGGGAGTCTTCGCTGCAGAACTAGTCAGGAATTCACAGCTGTACCTTGAAACTGCATCTCTGCTCCATCATTGTTTACACTGTTTTCAACATCTCCTCAGACTCTCTCTCGCTCTCTAAGGCTCAGATGGATCTATTCTATTCTATTCTCATCTCTCCACTCTTTGTGCGGCTTAATTGAGCTGACTGCCTCCGCTCGGCCCGTTGATTAATCGCGTTCTCTGCCTGTGTTTCAGGTTTGAGATGAGACAGGGAGAGGAGAAAGCAAGCGAGGTCGTTTTGATGAAGAAGAGTCTGAAAAACACAGCGCAGCGAGAGAATGGAGAAAGTTAGTGCAGTAAATGGAGTTCAGGAACTCCATTATGAGTGTGATTAGAGCTCTGTATGATAAAATGTCTCAGAATGGAACCAGCAGTGACAGACAGCTCCTGTTCTTTTCTAACTTTGTGTAAAGTGTTGACACCCCTAGACGCCCATAACAAGCAGTGTGACAAACCCTAATGCCTGATGAAAACAAAACTGATGGAAGAAGGGTTGAAATCATGTTTGATTCAGCAAAGAGTGATATCACTTTGTACAGTGTTTGTCATCTGGTGTATGCACACCCATACACACACATATCTCTGCACTTCTAGGTGCAAACTTCTAAGTCTAATCCCTCAAACAGTCTGTGAAGAAGTGAGGACCAGAAAAATCCAAAATATCCACTTTTGAAAAAAATCTCTTTACTTTACAAAATGTCCTCACCATTAAATTTGTCCTCACATTTCACAAAATGTCCCAATTTTTAAAAATATCTTTACATGCCAAAAACATTTGTCAATTTCAAAACATTTTCACACAATATATTTACACTAACAAAAAACAGAACAAAGTCCATTGCCCTCATCACCAGGGGGGATCCCCCCTGTGATGAGGGCAATGGACTTTGTTCTGTTTTTTGTTCTGTGTTCTAAACAATGTTACAAAAGTGCCATCATGGATGCTCAATTCTAAGGTGCCCTTCCAATGGAGAAATAAATTGTGGTTATTATTTAAAATATTTTTATTGAGCCACAAGAAGCTATACATACAGTGTATAATTGAGTCAGTGTCCATTTCCATCCATATAAATAATAAATAATCAGCACATTAGCCCCGACTGACAGCAGAGGAATTGAAGGCAGCTTGGACAGTGCCAACAACCATAATCTGTTCTTCAACAGGTTTGACACAATGGCGCCTGCTCATCCTCCCCCTAATTCATCTATTGAGTCTCTAAAAGGTCCCTCTGCTGTGGAAGACGTCCTGCCTTGTTCCTGTGCCAAAGATGCCACGTCCCAGCGGCCCCCAGGACTACAGACCGGTGGCATTGATCTTACATATTATGAAGACCCTGGAGAGACTTGGTCAAAGTTCATGGTCCTTGCTTGGATCCACTCCAGTTTACCTACTAGCCCTTACTGCGAGTTGAAGACGCCATCATCTTCCTGCTGAATTGCATCTACACCCACCTGGACAAGCCAACAAGCACTGTGATGGGGCCAAATGTTTTTTGACTTTGTCAGTGCGTTCAACAGCATCCGGCCAGCTCTTCTGGCTGAGAAGCTGACAGCAATTGAGGTGGAAGCTCTTCTTGTGTCCTGGATTGTCAACTACGTGAATGACAGACCACAGTTTGTGTGCCTGCAACACTGTATGTCAGACAGAGTAGTCAGCAACACCGGGGCCCTGCAAGGAACTGTCTTTTCTCTCTTCCTCTTCAGCCTCTACACCATGGACGTCAACTACCACAGGTTAAGCACAGGGCCGTGGTGGGTAACTTTATCACATGGTGTGAGCAGAACCACCTGCAGCTCAAAGTGACAAAGACTAAGGAGCTGTTTGTGCATCTAAGGAAGGCCATGGCTTCATTGGCCCCTGTTTCCATCCAGAGGGTCAGTGTAGACACTGTGGAGGACTATAAGTATCTGAGAGTACACACTGACAATAAAAAGCTAAAAACACACGAATCCCTCTACAGGAACTGTAGCATACACTTACTTCTATCATTATAATGTACATACTTATTACTTATTATATTTTACTATTTTATATTTTTATTTTATATGCATATAAATTCATATATATACATTTTTATTCAACTATTATTTCTATTCTTTAATGCCATGTGAGCAAATTAAGCAGCTATAACAAACAAATTTCCCCCCGGGATCAATAAAGTTTTTCTAATTCTAAAAGAAACAATGAATTTACCCAGTGAGTAACCATTATATTTTTATTTCTTTTTTTTTTAAATTTGTTTAAATTTTTCATTGGATGTGTCATGAATGTGTATGTAGCCTACGTGTATGTCCTTAGCTGTTATATGTGTTTTATGTGTTTTATGAATGAAGATGAAGAGCTACAGATCCTTGTATTTAAAGCTGCAGTAGGTAATCTTTTTTTTAAATAAACCAAGGCTCATTGATGCACGTGGGGAGTGAAGGATGGCCCGTGTGGTCTGATCCAACAGACGAGCTACTGTAGCTCAAACTGCTGAAACATTTAATGCTGGGTCTGATAGAAAGGTGTCAGAACACACAGTGCTTCACAGTTTGTGGTATGGGGCTGTAGAACATTATGAACACCAGGGTGCTCAGGAGGTCACAATGTTATGGCTGAAAGTTGCCTACTTCAGCTTTAAAGGTTAATTATTGTGTTTATGTTACCTTAGAATGAGTTGTGTTTATATACAGACGATGTGTGTATGTGTATGTGTATGTGTGTATGAGACCTGCCATGTTGAACCGCCATGTTTCTACAGTAGCCCAGAAGGGACAAACCTAACACTGGCTCTAGTTAGGGCCTTTCGCATTTTTCTTAGTCGTAATTTCTCCTACACCAGGGGTCAGCAAACTTTACCATAAGAAGAGCAATTTTATAGCTAGCCTAGCTAGGGAGACTCAAGACTATTAGCCATGAAGTTTGAGAAAATATATAGAGAGACGCACAAGGACATGAAGTATAACTCTAACTAAACTAAACTAACTAAATAACTAAATATTTTTTTCATATTTCAATGATAAATGTAAATGTAAATGTAAATGTTACCAAACTCCAGAGGACCCTTTTCTGACAGTTTTAGATCGATAATAATTACTTGGGTTTTTTATTATTTTATTTTCTATCAGCTTTTTTATCTTTTTATCGCTCTTTTATCAACGCATTGTCCATGTCTTTCTGATAACACACTCCGCCTAAAAACAAACAAATCAAAGTTCAAACAGAAGTCTCTACCTCTATCAACAGCTTTGTTGAAACTGGATGACATTCAAAAAAAATAAAAGCAAAGAAACAAAGCAGCCACAGCAGTTTCAGCTTAGCTTTACTACTATAAAAGGACCTTAACAGCAGCTGTGGAAACATTCGGTCCAGCAAAGAGTCAATCATGAGAAGTCTGGTGTTTCTCCTCTTTGTGGCTTTGGCCAACGCAAGAATCTACCAGCGTTGTGAATGGGCCCGAGTGCTGAAGAATAATGGGATGGACGGCTATAATGGCTACAGCCTGGCCAACTGTGAGTATCAGCTTCACAGCAGTCGTAGTTTCTCCTACACGCTTTGGATGCGAGGGGTAGTTGGTTGCAGTCTGCAACTTCACAGAGAGCCTAAATGTCACGTATACTTTTTGCACATTAACATATATTACTAATTTGGAAAGCTTGTCATACGAAACCATGTATTGTAATGTTATGGCATTCATTCTGGTGAAATATCAAGTCAGCATTTTGCTTTATAATATTGAGGTTGACCTTTCAGACAAAAGTTGTCTGCAGGTTTTGATGTCTGACGTTCTATCAGGTGGTCTATACGTGTCTCTGTTTCCTCTGCAGGGGTTTGTCTGACCCAGCATGAGTCGAACTATAACACCGCAGCCATCAACAAAAACACTGATGGATCCACTGACTATGGCATCTTCCAGATCAACAGTCGCTGGTGGTGTGATAACGGCCGCACCCCAACGTCGAATGCATGCCACATCCGGTGCAGCGGTCAGTGACAAACCATCACACCCAAAGCTTTAACTACACAACTGTGGTGCAAGTTCTATTCACAAGTCTGGCTGTGTCCTGCTCCCCCACCAGGCTTTAAAGCTAAAATAGTCAATAGGAGTGTTTATAATATTAACAGTTAACAATTAAAATGACTCCATATACTTGCAGTTCTACTAATGTCCACTTTGTAAATCATCATTCAAATCCAAATTTTAATTTTTTCATAGAGCTTCTGACCAATGATGTCAGTGTGGCAATCAATTGTGCCAAACGCGTCGTTAGGGATCCCAACGGCATCGGAGCCTGGTAAGATCTGACCATGTGACTCAGATACAGACTGTAATCACTGCACATACCTTCACATATGGAGAGATGAGTTCTGTCCTTCTGTCTGGTTTCAGGGTGGCCTGGCTCCGTTACTGCCAGAACCGCGACCTGAGCTCCTATGTGGCAGGATGTGGTCTTTAATCAACACATGGAAGCAGGACAGTGTCATCAGCATAATAAAATTCTCCCATCTTCAGCTGCAGTGGATTAAAACATTTCTGCTGTTTGTATGTCTGATGTATGTCTGATCTGACAGGAGTAAAACACAGTTACTAAAGCTATAGATGATTCTTTTCAAATCAACTTTTATTTGTTGTTATTGTGCTCATTTTAAAACTTGATTAAAATGTTGATTTCCAATAATGACGGTTGTTAAATTAACATGAATGTTAAAACATTGAAGAGGTACTTTGGATCATTTGGCCCCAGAGGGTAAAAGGGCAAGTTCCAGTCTTTTCAGTCTTCCTGCTTAACTGCAAAAATGATCATAGTAAGTAGCTGTAGTAACCTTACTGTGCACATGAAAGATATGATTCCAAATATGATCATACTAATAACTTCAGTCAAAAATAAAGGAAATTGACAGTAATAGTGCAAATACATTTAACTGTACTATAATTGACTCCTCCTAAGTCCCGCCCCTTTTGGAACCTTAGTCAACTTTCTCCTTTCCTGTACTTATATGCTATGTGCTAGTTGAAAAGACAACCACATTTTGAAGATGGTTAAAAGATAAAAGCAACATTTAGTCAATATCGTAAGTTTGCAATGTTACCAAAACACTAGCTAAGTAGCAGGCAAATATACACCAATCGTTAGCCAACAACTAGCCAGCTAACTAGATAGCTAATGATTGATGTAGATTAGCTTGCTAATTAGCCAGCATACAGACTCAGCGTTTTGCTAACAATAGCTATCTGTCTTAGGTTGACTAAATGTCACTTTTATCTTTTTAAATGTGGTTGTCTTTTCGACATAGACTAGCCTAGCATATAGCATATCTACGTACGGGAAAGGAGAAAGTTGACTGAGGTTCTGACCGAGGCTTGCTCAACTGTTGGAGAGCAACTGGAGAGCAGAGCAAAAATGGGCGGGACTTAGCAAAGGTAAATTCAATTGTTAATGTGCATGTATTGTATACAACCCAACACCTTTCTACTTATTTTCTAAATGTAATCTGTGTTTTAGCTTCTAACTTCAAATCAAATAATTTAAGCAAAAAAAGTTTGGGGAATCTGACTTGAAACACTAGAACAAGCAAACCACACAGGTTAAGGATGAGACAACCAAAACGTTTGTGCATGAGGCCAATCAAGCCCTTAGGTACATGCTTTGAAATTTAAACCATTACAGGCTGCTGGGGTAGCTCACCTGGTAGAGCTGGTGTCCCATGTGCCGAGGCTAAATCCTTGCTGCAGTGGCCATGGGTTTGACTCCAACCTGTGGCCCTTTGTTGCATGTCATCCCCTCTCTGCTGTCAACACTGAAGACAATAAAAACCCCAAAACCTGTTAGAAAGAAATTGAAACCATTAAACTATAAATTGGCCATTGTTTAACAATTGTAGTCATTATCATTAAGGTAATTAAACTCTACTTACTGAGATTAGACAGAAAAAGAACATACCATTTTACCAATACCACTAGCAAGATCACGTTAGAAAACAACAATGGCGGCTGCTAAAGAGGTTAGTGTAGATACTGCCAGCATCAGTTCTATCAGACCTGGAGAGGAGCAAATGGACAGATCACATGACACAATCTGGATTGGTAACAAAGTCTCATGTCAGTGAATAAACCTGAGTACACATATGGAGTATTCATTTCAAAATGTTCATCTGTAGAGCAGGAACACTGTATCTGTGAGGTTTACACTAGAAAATGTCTTGACAAACTGGGCTGGAATTGAAACACCATTTACCAGTAAATGATTTATATTATACTATTTTAACATGGATAAAATTTTGTTCTGATATGAATTTTATTCCATAGCAACTAACTGTCAACTAATTCCAACAGTCACATGATTGCTGAGATGTTTGTTTCTTAATATAAATGAGTAGCAGCTATTTCCTAAGCTAAATGTCACGTTAGCATTTTTGCTATTTTTAGACCAAACAAACCAGAAGCCAAAAGTCCATTTAGTCTAATGACATTTGATCATTTTAGTCCCAGGAACAAACAGGAAGTCAGTATTTCATCAGAGTGAAGCAGCAGAGGAAACAAAAGCTGCTGCTTGTTTCTTTTCTCTTGAAAATACATTTAGGTCCATCATATGTAAAAAATAAACAAAACAAATCACACACACACACACACACACACACACACATTTGTGTACAATGGATTTTCTAAACCAAACCATATCTTTAAAGCTGCCCTAAATAATATTTGTACATGATCAATGGCTGCTCTGCAGTTCCTCTAAGCTTTACAGAGCGTTTTAGCATCTTTCAGCTTACATTAGTGTTTTGGTTTGCTCTCAGGTGGCAAAAAATGTGTTTACATTTCATTAATTTCTCTTTGTATCCCACTCCAAACTGCTCTGGCGCTCCTGAGGGTAGGAACATACAGAACGAAGTGAGATTTAGGTTCACAAGTAAAGTAGGTCCTTGCTTGAACATGGTTGCTAGGTACCACCCACTTTTGTGCAATCAAATCAATTCCCTAAACATCTTGACAAAATCTCTCACATGATTACAGTAACCTCTCACATATTCATTTGGAAATGTGTCACATTACAAAAGCTAAAGATGCACTGTCATTTCAATGGGAGTTAATAATAAACTTAATAAACTTTCCTACTCTTACTCATCATTAATCATTTCTCTATTTTGTAGTCAGCATACTGTGCATCACGGTCAGTCCACAGTTGAAAAAGTGAGCTTGAGAAACAGTTCACACAATGTGTAAACTCTATGGGCTGAGCAGGAGCTCGTGGGGGGATCCTCATTGCTGCTTTAACTCAAAGAACCCCCTCCCTTTTAACAAAATATAAGTGACAATCAATTCCTTCACGTCCGTTCCTCAGACAGTAGTGTTCTTGTGTCTGAATGGGAACAAATCTCCGCAGCCAGGTTCCGAAAACTGGAGGAAAGCCTGAAACCAGAGGAGTGGAGGCTGTTTCTGCAGCAGGTTAATTCCCATGCTTTTGGAATGACATGTTAATGGCTGCAATGTTTGAGTGTAGATCTGTAAGCTTTATCATGACCAACTAAAACACCATTACCAGCAGAGGCTTCATGTCTCCAGTTTAACCTCAGCTGATGCTTTCTGATGCAGAGCACGAACAGAGCTGCTGTTACAGGATGGAAACAGGAATCCCTGGACAAGAGAGAGAGAGAGCGAGGGGGAGCATCTGGCAATGAAGCAGGAATTTAAATGTGTAGTTGCAGTGATCAGAAACTGGCATCATAGAGCCATTAGCAGATGCAAATGAGGGCAGAGCTGGCAGGCTGGTTTGTCTCACTCCGTCTTTATCACACACACAAACACAGTGCACACAAACATACAGTCACACATACAGAGTCCAACATCTGGACTGGGAACAGTTTTTGCCAAGAATCTGACAGAACAAACAACATCTTACCAGCAGGGGAGCTAAAAATTTAAAGTTTGTTCTGAAGGTTGCTCTTAAGGAGAGATTATGGACTCATTAAAGTCTGATCTTCATCTAATACGGTCAGGAATGTATGCGACGATCTGGACTGTAGATGTTGAGATGGCCAAAAACAAGTGGACAGTATAACAACATATAACTGAATATGTGATTTCAAAACCACGGGCATTAATCCTATTAGCAAGCAAAACAGATGTTATAAAGTGCTTTGTCAGAAGAGAAGGTGGAACAGACAGAAGACAACATGGGGTGCATTCTGGTGTTCAGTGGCTTGAGCGTATTGCCTTGTGTATTGTATTTCACAAACTAGTGAACAACTTACTGTGAAGAAGCTACTTGACTCTGCACCACAGTCTGCTCAGCTGTGATGCTCACGCTACATGTGCTGCAGACAGTGCTGAGAGTATTGAAACCGCTAACTAAGGGGTTGACATAGTGGAGAGCTGCTTCTTGTCTCTGTTTAATATTCCAGAACGGCTCATATTAGACAAAAGCCGGTTCAGTTGGATTGCACAAAATCAATCTGGTTTAAGCTTGTACACTGAACCCAGACTGGCAAAATGTCACTTCTAAATTCTAAAATACCTACCAACACTTCTGAAGCCCGGACTTCTGGGCTATAGCACAGGTTGTCAGAAATAGTCTGACACAGGTTTTAGTCTCTGTACATACTTGAAAGTACCACACCTGGCAACCTCGCTGACAACAGGACTTCAGGTAGCAGTCTCGCGCAGTCACTGCATCCGGCTGTTATTTGCCAATTTTTTTTAAAAACTACCTCACATTTATATTTATATTTATTATACTGTATTTTAGTGAACTTCAGTTCTGTGGTGTGGGTACGTGTGTTTTTACCTTAGGACAGCACCAAGCTAGCTTATTTCCCACTGCTTTTAGCTAAGCTAGGCTAATCAGGTCCTGACTCCAACTTCAAACATTTTCCTCTTACCTATAGTGCTATTAGTTCATCTAGATAGTTTTGGTGTGAGTTGCTGAGTTTTGGAGATATCGGCTGTAGAGATGTCTTATCTCCAATATAATGGAACCAGACGGCACTCGGAATGTGGTGCTCAAAGCGCCAAAATGCATTTGAGAAACTCAACAGCAATGTCTCTTTCCAGAAATCAAAACCAGGTTAATCAAAATAATCCACAGACCTTGTTGTGAGTAGATTCGTGTAGGAACTATTTTCTTTCTACTGAACCACACTCGCAAACTGTGGCTAAACATTAGCTATAGTGCTAGGAGAGCTAGCTGACGTTACAGATGAGCCCAGGAGGCAACTGACCCCAACTAATAGAGATGACCAGCAAAATGAAAAGTCAGCATTGTGTAAAATATTGTCATTCGTAAGCAGATTTTTTTTTTTAAAAAGCACCAATAAACAATTGTGAATATAATTATTTATTTACTCCAGTCCAAGAAATGTACACTTATGTTCTCTTAAGGTATAAAAAATTTGTCTTAAATAAGCAATTGTTCTATTTCATATTCATGTAAATTCTCATTATTTATTTAAAAATCCCTGAAGACTTCTCTAAAACCGACAACAATCTGACACCACAAACAACTAAAATCATCAAAGAGCTTATTAAGAGTTAGTAGAGTTAGCAAAAGCCGTCCAGCAGTTTGCAACCTGACTTTGGGTTCGATGAGGGCGTTGCTCTTCAGTATTTTTTTTATTTTTTATTACTTTTATATTAAAAAGAATCACAATTTGAAAAGTGAAAGAAAAGATAAGCGCTTGTTGTAAAGTTTGTACAGATGATAAATCACAGAAAGGATTAAAGGCTTCGGTTGTTGCTTTAAGCTGATAGACACTCAACTCATTGCAGCTGTTGCTCCTCATATGTTCCTATGTTGCAGTTTTCTGTTGCTGCAACCATTGCTGCTGCAGTTCTTTGTTGTCATATTGTAGTTGTTGCTGGTGTTTTTGTCATTGCTGATGTCATTATTGCTGTGGTCGCTGCTGTTGCTCTGGAAAATTTCCAGATGCTGATAGATGTCCAGTGTGATGTTGCCTTAACAGGAACGTCGAAGCAATCGCCTGCTGAGTCTTCGGTCTGTGGGTGGTCCATTTTTTGGTTTGTTGTCTGGATTAAGATGAAGATGATGATAAACCTGAGGCTAGTGAACAGAGGGACTCTGGAGGGAGACAGAGAGAAATAAAGAGTTACTGTCACTGATAACAGTTTAGTTTACAGATTTATAGTTGGCTGCCACAGTTAACACAGGAGAGAACTTTAACAACCTCATATTTACTCTATTTGTGCCTCTGCTGACTGTCTAAGCAGCCATATTGGAGTGGCCCCAAGCGCCTTTGAACAGGGGAGCAGAGGGAACGAACAGCTATAATTGATTGCTCCAGATAAAGCGAATAAGTGGACACAGAGTTTAGATTGTTTAAGAAACTACTGTTTCCAAGTTCAAGAATGAACTTCTATGTTGTGTTTTGATCATAATGTTAACTGAAACAAAACTGGTAATCTGAGAAATGGAGTTTGGTTGAATAAAAACAAAAAGGACTTTAGCCAAATAAAATATTACATGAACAAATAAAAGGGTAAGAGAGAGAGGGTATGACACGCAGCAAAGGGCCACAGGCCGAACCCGTGGCTGCTGCAGCAAGGACCCAGCCCTGGCACAGATTTTGGAAAATGAGGACAGTGTGGGTACACTTTTTGAATTGAGGATTACCTCTTTTAACAGGACTCATTGGTTTATACCTGCAGCGGCCAGGGTGGAGGAGTCAGGTCATCAGGAGAGTTCACCTGATCTAAGTGCAATCCTATATTATAAAGTTGTTGGAGTAAAACAGTCTCTCTCGCCTGGCTTTTAACTTTCAGGTTTCGTTGTGTCTGGTTTGCCTTAGTTTAGCTTACTCCTTTACAAATCATGCGGTGGTCTCCTTTGTGCGACCTTATTCTGGATTACGGCAACATTTCTGGAGTTTAGTTGGGTTAGGGGCTAAGGAAAGTATTGTCAAAAGGGCCCTCCCAAGTATAGAAGTACCAACATGTGTGTGTTAATGAGCACCCAGGTGTACACTGATGTCCCTAGCTAACAGATAAAGTGTGAATATAATTATGAGGCTCCAGCAGAGACCTCTGAACAAACCCCCCCCTCCTCCAGCCTCATTCTTCTATTAAACCCAAATTGACTAAGCTTGTCTTAATAAAACCCACTTAATGAAACACTCTGCAGAACAAACTGTCTTCATCCACCTCCTGCGGAACAATAAACACCAGCCTCCATGCTAATCATTAGCTTCCCCATTAACCCCTCCACACCTCCTCCCTCCCACTGCATAAACGAGGGAGGCGTGGCTACAATTAGGACCGCTCGTCTGTGGAGGCCTTTTGCCTGCACAGAAAACATTTTAATTATACATCATACATAAAAGACCAAAGCGAAGTGTTTGCACAGCAGGAGAGCAGGAGCGATATCAAACATTATCATGTTCTCCTCCTGCTGCGTCCTCCTCTCAGCTGCACAGCCCATTCTGATTATTTAGAACAAATGCTGCCATGATGAAAAAAAAAAAACAATCAAGGTTTCCTCCAGACTGCTGGGAAATCCTGGTTTTCCAGCAGTCCACTGAGATTTTTCCAAATGTTCTTTGTGCCATTTTAATACATTATTGTGCCATTCTGAATCCCTCTTTCTTACAATTTCAACCCTGCAATGTGGCATTTTCAGACCCTCCACCCTTTTCCCTTGAATCCTTTGTTGTGCCATTTTGAATTCTTATTTTTTTCAAATTATGTAATTTGAATACATTCCATTTGAACACCCTATTGTGCCATTTTGAATCCACCATTGTGCCATTTTTAGTCCCTCCTTTCCATTTTTAATAACTAATTGTGTCATTTTTAATCCATTATTTTGCCTTTTCTAACAGTCCCTTCTTTTCCAATTTGAATATTTCATTGTGTCATTTTTAATCCTTACATTTTAAATTTTATCATGTAATTTAAATCATGTTGATTTGAACGCCACATTGTGCCATCTTCAATCCATCACTGTGCCATTTTTAGCCTTGTTTTTGGTCCTCCTCATTTGTTTCCATTTTGAATCCTTTATCGAGCCAATTAAGTCCCCCTCCTTCAACGTATTTACATTTTGAATCCCTCAATTAATTTTAAGTTCTTATTTTGCAAAATATAAATTCCCCATCTTTCCATCTCTTTTTTTATTTTGAATCCTTCATTGTGCTATTTTAACACCTCTATTTACAATTAGAATCCCTTCTATACATTTTGAATCCCTCATTGTGCCATTGTGAGTCCCTCAGTCTTGCTATAGGAGAACAACTCTTTGTTTCTCTGTTTTAGTGTTTCATTGTTTTGCTGTTTCAGCGTATTAGTGTGTCTGTATCTGAAGGTTTTCTTCCTTTAGTGTTTTAGTATTTTCATGTTACAGTCTGATAATCCTCGGCTCAGGCTTAATTACTCCCTAATAATTAGAAAATCCTGATAATCTGCTGCTTAATCGGAGCAATTCAGCTGACTGACAGCACACATACACACACACACTCAGCAGTTATCAGCCTTGTGAATGACTTTGAAGCAGATAATTCCCTGTGTCTCAACATTCACTAATTACCAGCAGCTGAAAAATGCTGCAGGAGCCTGAATCAGCTCCTCTGGAAATTACAAGATACACAGCTAATAATCACATACACACACACACACACACACACACACACACACAAGCTAGTGTGTTTGTGTGTGCATCAAACGGTCACAGTCTTTTCTCAGTCAGTAGTGTGAATCTTTAGTCTTGATCAGATAAACACACCAGTCTGCACATTTAAAGGAACAGTCCAACGTTTAATAAAATCCTCTTCTTCTTTGTCTTCCCCAGAGTCAGATGAGAAGGTGGATATCGGTTTCTTTATGAAAGGCCAAAACTTAAGGCCTAAACAACAGGGTGATGGAGAAAGGTGGTGGTTTTAGGACTGAATACTTTATTTGTCCTTTTGCACTCGTACTGAGGCACAGAACGTAACACAGAGCACCGCACAACAAACCCATTGCTGACAATGTGACATCGTTATTAAAGTGAAGTGTTTACTGATGGAGGGATATTTCTGACCAAGCATGTCTGTGAATTCTGTCTGTAAATCATTAATACATTTGAAAATAACTCAGAATCAGAAATACTTTAATACTTTAATAATCCCTGTGGGGAAATTACTTAAACGCTCTCATCTAAACATAAAAATTAAAAACAAGACTATGAGTCTACAGCTATGCAAGTCAGACGATAACTATATATATATATATACACTGGTATACATACATATATACACACATATATAGACATATATCAAGCCATTCTGATTTTAGTGCGATCTTCTAAAGGACAGTGAAATTTAAATCATTAGCTGACTAGCTATGTAACAATTGATGTTAATTAACTAGCTAGTTAGCTTTCATTTAGCTAACATTAGCTTTCAGATGTAATTAGCTGGCTTGCGACTGATTTAGATTAGCTAGCTAGCGAATTATAGCTAAATTAAGATTTGACTATATACATATATATGTCAATATGTGACTTTAATCTTTTAACCATCTTCAAAACAACGAGCCTAGCATATAGCATATCAAAGGACAGGACAGGAGGAAGTTGACTGAGCTCCTGACCGAGGCTTGCTCAACTGTTATTGGAGCACAGAGCAAAAAGGGGCGGGACTAAGGAGGGTCGATTCTTAAATAATCAAATTCAATGGATCCTTATCATGTGTAAATGTAAAAAAAAAAATTCAACTGTTATTTTGAGAGTAGACTTTTTTTCTAACATATTTAAGATGGTACCTGCACTGTGGAACTGCAACTTTAACTTTAGTATAGGCTCTGAACACTTCTACTCTGAAAACTGATGGAAATATTTTAACAACAAAATAATGGCGTTCGACCGGTTTCTTGTTTTATTTCTGCAGTGTAGAAGCAGCATTAGTGTGTCACTGCCACCTTCTGCACCATGTTTCCAAGAGAGAAAGAGCAGAACATTAAGAGTCACAGAAAAGAAAGAGAATGGAAGAAACCAATCCGGCCATAAAACGAACATAAATAAATTAGCAGGAAGCAGCAACAAGAGTCACAGCAGCAGGAAACAAACTGAACAGTCTGAGATTTCTGCAAAGATTTAAAATGGTTGTTTCAACAGCTCGAAAGCAGCCCAGGAGACACACACACACACGCACACACATTGGCTGGCCGCTGCCCTCTCTCTCTGGTCCAGCTATAAAAACCCATTAGTAATCACTCCTCGACTCTCAGCGGCTCTTTTCGCCCAAACGACTTCCATCCAGCCAATCTGCATAAATCTGCATTAATGGCCGATTTTCCCTCCACAGAAAACAAATGTGCTTTAAAAAACGTCTCCTTATCAGTCGGCTTTTAGAGGAAACAGAGAGCAGAGACACACACACACCATCCATCTGACAACACTCACGCACATGCAATTGCAGCTTCTATCAACAACAGATACTGTATATCATGACACATATATCACAGCAGCAACACTTACAAAGGGAATATAACGTGAGTGTTGTACTTGACAAACAAATGCTGATGATTGTCTTGAGGGTGGCACCAGAGAAACGGCCACAGGGTTATTAAAGGACCATATCTGGGGTTTTGCATAAGTATATCCTGTATGCATTCATATTAATAACAACCATTTCCCAATTCCAGGGGTGAATAGTATGGCAAAAAATTGACAGCTGTGATTGCCAGAACTTTACAATAATATATATCGTAGAACTTTTCTACTATTGCGGTAAAAGGATATGAGTACGGTTGATTTTATAGATAAAGTTGGAGTTTTATTCCATATTTTATTTTTTGTTTTGTTTTTACCATTAAAATAATATATTATAACCTATTTTACGGCCTTTTACTGTCATGGTTTTTCACTGTAAAATGTTTAACAGTTTTTACAGTGTAGGTGAAAATGTAGTTGGCTAGCTACCGTTAGCTATGTTAATTTTTCATGTGTAACGTTAATATTTGATGTTATGGTAATGAGATTAACTTATCTTGTAGCTAGTGGTCTGTTGGGTTTTTAAATTGGTGTGCTTTAGAAAGTAGTTAAGCTAACGTGCAGTAATGAGGGGAAAAGAGGGAGAAAGAGTGGGATCATTGACAGTTTATAATTAGTGGACAGAGCTCTCGGGTCTGTGAAGTGAAGGCAATGCATAAGGGTCTTAAAACAGCAGCCAGCAGGGGGCAGCAAAAACAAAGTCTGATAGTACTGAGTGTTAAGGGGAAAGAAACAAATGATTATGAAAATCTGAACAATTTGCAAAATATTACAAAACCTAAAGTAAGGCTGCATGCTTTGGGGATTTACTGTCAATGCAATCAATGTGTTAGTAGACAGAGTTGCTAAGAGTTGATCACCAGATCAAGGTATCACAACTACGGCGCCCTGTTCTGTATACGTAGCTAATTTGACTATTGATGATCCAATCAATAAAGTTATAAAGTTCTTTAAAGATGGCTTAAGATGTATCTCAACATTCTGCTTTTATTTTAGAATGATAATGGTCTGTTGATTCCCACAATGAACAAATCATCCAGCTGTGTTTGAAGACCCAAGTCAGAATTAACTGGATCACTGTAGCGAGATACAATCATGTTAGGGCACATTTGAAGATTTGGGGAAGATCTCCATGAAATGTACTCACATTCCTGCTCCCCAGAGGATG